GGTGTTTACTGCTTGTTTCTATTGAGGACAAGAGTTAAGGTGATCGATCTGCTATTAACAGTTTTTTTGGCACTCTTTTTTCCTGCAGAGGTCATACCCGGACATTCTCCATGCCAGATGTGGGTAAGACATAACAACTTAGGCAGCACCATTCCCCAGTCAGCTCTTGTGAAAAAACAAGTTTGGGAAGATCTTTAATTGTTTACTGGAAACATACATTAAACAAAGCATAATGAATCACTTACTGAATTACTCACTTAAAAGTCACCTTTCAGTACAATACAAAAATAAATGGGACACTTGTGTTTGTCATGTTGATTTCCTCAATTTGTTATCTTGATGTGGGTTAACAGATACAGTAAACAAAGATACTACAGACTTGATATTTTGCAGCAGCTGTTTCAGAGAAACACAGGAAGGCTTATGTGAGGTTGCAACACAACTGCGAGTGTGTGAGCGCCCTCAGTATAAAAAACACTCAATCTGAGTCCATAAACAAGTCCTTGAGGACTTACTGATGTTCTGGATGTTGTATCAAGTTTCTATCCAATTATAATTTCTTCGCAACTACCGAAATTACAAAACTGCACCCTTCTAAACTTCTTTAATGAACAATGGACTTTTCATTACGGCATTCTTTAAACGTTAATTCCCTGCAATGTGACTCATTAGACAAGCAGGTGCTTAAACAGGAAGCTGCTAGTAAAATATGTAATGGCTAATCTAAGGTCTGGTAACTTGGGAATTATTTCCTTGGTGTAACTGTTGTATGTTCACTTGTATACAGTTATTTATCCGTCGCTTGTGTGATTTCGTCTTTAGGAAACAAAGACCTTAGCGTGAACCACCAGCACAGTCACAGTGACATGGGTCATGATAGCTCCCACAACCAGTGAGTTCACCTGTTTCACTCTTACAGAAACACATACAGACACGCGCAGACTCATATAATTCTTTTTATTTCTCCTTATAGAGCACTTCAGAGGTTGTCCACATTTTTCCATTCACAAAAAAATGTAGAGCCAGCTGCAAGGTAGGCATGGTGGAGAAAAATGTAACAATGTTATCCATCCACGAGCGTGCATGTACACACACATCCAGAGCTTCTTTTCAATTTTTGTTTTTTCTTCTTTTTAGCAGCACCGATGAACCAGTAATGAGTAAGTAATGCCCTAAAAATCACATTTAAAAAGTCACTAATGTACTACTTTTTCAAACCTAATGCTGATGCACTTTCAGGCAATACACTTATGCTGGAAGAAGCATTAAAAAAAAAAAACATTCATAAAGTATTATCATAAAGTTTTTATAAACTGATTTTTAAATTGCAATATCAATACATCTTCAGGTTACACTGCAGGTTCTGTGAATGCGGCACAAGAAGCAAATCACACGTAAGTACAGAAAGAATAACGCACATAGAAAAATGTCAAACATGCTGTCCGACCTGTAGACGGAGAGGGTTCCTTCCTTTTTGCCTGGAACAGCTTGATAAGCATGAAAAGAGTAAATGTCTTCCTTTTTTTTAATCTCTGAGAGAAAGAAAGCTTTTAACTCCACCTTAACGCCACCAGGAAGTTAAGCCAGGTTGACTCCTGACAGAACAATGAGTTGTTAATTCTCAAGTAGGTCCCTCCTCTGTGCTTAGTGCAACAGACAGCATTTACATAACAAGAGCACTTAAAGAGAAGAGCACAGAAGAGTATATTGCATATACTCAATATACCCAATATTTCCATTGGTAATATAAAGCTTTTACTGCTTTTTACATTTGGTGTGACCTTGACCTTGACCAGAATTTCACCAAAATAAAATCATCTCGAGCTGATTGAAATAGAACCAATTACATACTCCCTCCCTTCGAGGGAAGAATGAGTTACTGGGTTAAGAATATAAGGTGATAGAAGAAAGACTGAGTTTTTTTCATGTTTTTTTTCTACAGGCCTGAGGCTGTGTCAGCAGGAGATACAGATTTTGTTCCTGATACACTCATTTTACCTCCTCCTGTCATGTATGCCGATGGAGTGGAGTGAAGGTAAAGTGGCCTTCATACAACAAGGCAAGGATGAATCACCCGGACTCTTCACTGTCCATCACTGTGCACATGCCATGATGACATGATGTTTTTCTGTCTTAACAGCTGAACAGAAACTCCCCCAGGTGGAACTGCATTTGTCTGCAGCATTACCTGCTGGACTATGATCTTATTTATCCAATGACTGCATTCGTGAAGTAGAATTACATTTAACAACAATGAGAATTATATCATCTGGGCAAACGGAAATCTTTCTTCTGTTCTTTCAAATGCTGCAATGTGGAACCAGCATGGGACAGTTGATCTGCTTGCTTTAAGTGATCACGGTGAACTGCGTTGCACAGTCACACACAGTATTTGTGGACAATGTGATCCTGGAAACTCTCGTAGGGACAATGAACTGCTTTCTGTGCAAAAACCAGAATGGAAAATATATTTAAAGTGGAGGAAATAAGGGAAAGAACAACGGAATGGAAACAGCGGTTTTTCTTATCAGATGGAAGTGTGTGTAGCTAAGAAATACTGGAAAAAGCTTCATTTGTTTTAAGATGCATCCATTAGAAACAATCAACCAGCTGTAAGCAGCAAGTAATGTGAGCTAATACCAGTAATATTCCTGGTTTATGTTTATCTACAGTACTCCAGCCATTTAAAAACATTGTTTGTATTTTTTGCACATAAGCTTTTGCTAATTTGTAATTTGTACACTCATTATTGTTTTCAGTGTCAACTGTGGTATTTGGAAGGGACTATGTAACTACTCATGCTACAATACATATGACCTTTGAGTTTGACTTCTTTTTCACTGGACCCAAATAACCAGCATGCTGTGTAATATAATAGGTATAAAATATAGTATTTGCTCTGTATTGATCATAGCTGCAACTTCTAGAGGGATATCCATCAACTGAATTTTCTTTACTTTTTATAGAGCTTTTACCTGCCTCTGACACTAACAGTTCCCTATAAACAGATGAATAAGTATTATAGATAAACAACATAATGTGATGATTACTTGAGGTCATTTGCAGCCGGCATTTGTAGTGGGTGTGAGTTTGTGTGACTCTATGAAAGCACGTTAAGACGGAATTTTTTTTTATGTTTATTTTTTTTCCAATAAATATTCATTAAAGTGCAAATCAATACAGCAATATCATGCAATGCATAACATGAGAAATCCAAACCTCAATCAGACAGAAAGACATATAGAGACAGTATCAACACGCACGCATACAGGCAATCACAACAACCAGCGTGCACCCACATACCTAACAAATACACTCAAACACACACACACACACACACACACACACACGGTGGTATTTAGGGTTACACTGATCATAAGAACCCCACTACAGAAAATACTCACTTTGGTACAACATGTGAAATTTGTATTTAATTAGGCCCTTTAGCATTTCTTCTGGCACTAAACACAAATTAGCTTACATGACTATCATGCCACTGGTATTTGCATACAGTTGTGATGGTAGACTACACCTGACAGTAAACACTGGTTATGTCAGAGGAGTTTTTAAATCTCACCCATGACTTCTGCTGGATAGTGCACTTCAATCATACATATGTTTGCAAGTGTTTTTAGGAGCATCAGTACCCGGAATTAAAGCATAAAGGCCCATATATTATATATTGATGTGACTGAAGATGCTCACAATAGAGAAGTAATTTAAGACACAGCAATAGTGTAAAATAGATGGCTGACAAAGGCTGTGGACTAGTGTTTACAAAGGTGTATATGCAGCAGCATATTGGAGCAGGGAACACAATTTCTCCTTGACAAAGAACAATGAGCAGTGTATGAGCTTACAGACAGAACAAATACACAGAACATGTAAATAAAGGGTTTCAGGGTAGCAGAAAGTGGCTTTCACTGGTTCAACCAGACCTCGGTCTACTACCAAGTAGAACCAGGTGAGAAAAGCGACCCGATATTGATCTGGGAAAGTGGTGTTTGAATCCAATGTGAAACGAAAAGGCAGCACTTTTTAGACAAATGTGCATTTGTCTGTGCTCATCTCACAGGGTTGACGTGTTGGAGAAGAAGTTCCATCACTTTATTTTGAAAGATTTCTGCAGATTTAATATTTTTCTGTCGTTTCAGTTATTTCGTTTTTTTACTGCACATATTTATATCAGTGTATATTTCTAAGTGCTGTATTTACACTTTTGTAAATCTCTGTGACACCACTCTGCAGAACAGTAACTGCCTCAGTGCCACTGACTTCTACGTCTTACTGCAAACAGTAGAAAGGCAACGGTCCAGTATCCCCACTTCAAAACAGCAGGTTTAAAACCAGAAGAACATAGTGAGAGAAAGAGAGAAAAGGATTTATATTAGCAGCACCAGCATTCAATTTACATTCAGTCATAAATGATTTTGATATAATGTTATGCCTGACTATAGCAATACACAACATCACTATGGAAATCTGACAGGACATTACAGAACGGTGGCGTGCATCAATAGCAACCAGCAACAACAGTTACAGTAAAGTTTGCAGTGCAGTAAACAGTAAGTGTGCAAACTGTCGGCCACAGCAAATGAGTTTTACAGTGCAGACTGAACAGACAGCAATGACTAATTGAAACAGATAACAGGTCAGACAGCTGCACCACGCCGAACCGTCATGGTTTGTCTCTCGCCACTCACTTTCCTGATTCTGTCACCTCTCTGACATCCCAGACATCACAATTATACTGAAGAGCCTTTAAACACACCAGTGTTAAGTACCATACTTATCTGAGCTCACAAACACACACTTGTATGGAAAACTTCCACAACACACTCCATACCAATTAATGCGTTGCATTGTTTAAGGCAACTGTAGAAAAGTTCATGTGGCTTATACACTTGTGCAACAGATACACACCGTCTCACATCTACTTTTTGCCCTCCTCAGTGTCATTCTGTTTTGAAATTTAATGGCTTACTTAAGTATTTTAACAAGTTAGAAAAAAAAAAAAACTGGCCACACCAGCCAATAAAAATAGTTTTAAGATCTCACATTAAGCATCTGTCTCAATTTCTAAGGGGTATCTGCCTAATTTAAAAGCTTAATAATATAATAATAAAACAAAATGTTAGTTTTTACCTAAAAACAGCTATAATGCCTGTCTTTATTCAGCTTACTACATATGTGACTGAACTGAACACCCCTATGATAACTAAGCAAGTGTCTAAGTGTCTTCATTAGGGACTTGCATGTAAAGGGATCTGTTGGGTGTGTTGCATATAAAACACTGCTTTAAATAGCAGGGTGATTGAATGCTTTGAAATATATCTGGATATCCCCCCGAGAAAACCCCCAAACTCTTGTAAGATGGTCTGCATCTGTCTTCAACACCAATGCAACACATACTCGGCGTCATGCAGAGCATCATTCTACTATCCCGCTGTCTCAAAGAGCTTCGCTACTCATCTACAATCAATTCAAAATCAAGTAAAACTATGTTGAAGTAGTAATTAAATTAAAAAACTATAATGCCTAAAAAAACCTCTTAAAAATAAATATGGGTCTGACCGCTAAAATATAAATCTTAAAGATGTATTAAGTAATTTATTTGGTATTTCTCTGTCAAACTTTCCAGCTACATAATGATTGTAATATAAATATAGTACAAGGATAACAAAATCTTCCTCATAAACAATATAAATAAAAAAAATAGAATTTTACATTTTGCGATACTCTCTCTGACACGATTTAATGTCGAGTTTAACAACTTTGCCTCAGTGAAGATTTAAGACCAGATGCAAAACTGACCTTTGATCGGTGGTACAGTGGGTGAAGGAAATTCAGCAACTGATAATCAGCTGAAGATGTTTGTGGGAGAAGTGACAGTGAGCTTGAGCTTTGCTGAACTCTGACCACTCGCTTCTCACTTTACAGGCCTCCACTAGTTCATAGATTCCCCTCAGCTGCAGCCTGATGTGTAAGACATCAAGACTTTGACCCAATGACTGTCAAAACAAGAAATAATAACCCCCACTATTTTACCCCCTCATTCTCTCTCTCTTCATCCGAGGCGAATGCCACACCTGCCTTGCCATTTACATTTCCAATCGCTTCCCCCAATCCAGTAAAACAGAACAGATGGAGAAGAGACAGAAAGAAGAAGTCACTCCAAACATCTACACTCCCTACATCCTCGATCTGTGATTAGCTTAAAAACCCCACTGACATCCAGGTTACAGTGACCTAAGCAAGTCAGCAGGGCTCAGCGTGCTAGCGTAGTGATCAGACTGGCACACATTTCAAAGAAGTCCATGGTGTGTGATCCCTGACGTGGGGTGAGCAGATGGGAGCTACCAGACAGGGATCCCGGGAGAGAGGAGCTGAGCTGGGGCAGATCAATCGCTGGGGTTGCCGAGTCAATGCTCAGTCTGGGCCTGTGGAGACCGGCTGTGGAACCTGACCTCTGAGGAGTGGATGAGCCCGATTTAAAGCCCACTGCCTCGATGATGTCATCTGGAAGCACAGCAACAGCAAATATTAGTAGTCATTCATAAAGTAACTACTACGTTAACTTTTGTTTTATTAAACTTTGTGAGAAATATCTGTGAGACAGTACACAAATCAGTCCAGCTATTTCGAACCAGTGCTAAATGCTAAAAGAGGATATTTAAAACAAAAGACACAAAGCTAATGGTACATTTTGTCTTAAAAACGATGTCAATGCATTTTTAATAAGTAGTGGTCCTCTCTTCCTGAAGTGCAATTCTGTGCTAAAGCAAGTACAAGATGACTCATTCACCTGATTTGCATAACCATAAAAATATATATCTGTCATCTAAATAATAATGTCATCTATCGGATGTATGAAGTTTCTTATAGCCTTTTAAAATATTTTAGGCTTCAAATGACGTGATATTAAATCTGTTTAAATATAGAATTTTAAATATAGTTACGTATCCTCAGAAGAAGATTTAATCTCATTATTGATAAAAAGAGTTAATATTATATGCACAATCCAAGACCAGAAATCTCTGCAGTGGATGATTTAAATGGTCTAAATGTAAATAATAGATCACAGACACCCATCTACTGAGCATCAAAGGCACCGGTGAGGTGAGGTGTCTACGCAGAAAGGATACTAAAAGACATCTTGCAAGTAATACATTAGTACCAACACACTTGAAAACGGTTTCTTTCCTCAGGCTGTAGGATTGCTGAACCCACTCTCAACACTTTAACATGAAAAAGGAGCTTTTTCATAAAACAACTTTTTTCTTTTTTTTATGTTTTGTGACTACAGCTGCAATTTTCTTAGACAACCTTGTGATGTGCAGTTCACGCCTTTATTCATTTCAGCTCAACTTTAGAATGACAAAATTAAGGACAAACAAACTCCGGTTTTACATCAGCAGCTTTACACCTGCACAAAGGCCACGCATGTTTTATGATTTGGAAAATGTTTATTTTATTTTGGTTTTAAATTAGTTATGTATTGATTGTGACTAGATTGTGAAACCTGTTTAATACTAACCATCAATGCTCTTGAAGTCAAGGAGGTAGGATCTGTTGTCCACTTGATAGAGCTGCAGGCTCATTTTCACCAAGTTCCCTGTCACTGGATTCTTCCTTCGAACTCGCAAATGGTATGGGTTCACCACCTGACACACACACACACACACAAAAGAGTCAATAAATATATAAATAAATATTTAAAAAAAACAGCCAAAACAGAGACTGTTTGTGTGGGGTTCTTTGCAGTGATGTGCTTTATGTATGTATAAGCACCTTCCAGTCAAAGTTTAGCTGCTTCATAGCTCTGTACACCTCAGCCATGATATCATAGGGTCTGCTCTGACTCCTGATACCCAGGTGCCACTTAGCCTTCTTCACTGCCAGCGGTTTAGGCCGAGTGGTGTTGAGAGCATCCAGAGGACAACGCGACTTTGGGCTGTCAGCCAAGAGCGGAGGCATCCTCTCTGGGTGAGGTTTAACTCCGGGGGGCAACGGCATTCCCTCCTCTATAAAGGAGCCCTGTGGAGGACTGGACGCCAAATAGAATTCACTGGCCTGGGTCATGATGCGCCTGTTATCTATGATGAGGTGATAGGCTACGGATAACTGATCCTGCGTAAACAGAAGGATGACGAAAAATAAAGTGAAGACCAATAAGATAATTCACTCCCAACAGACCATTATACTACTGAAACCTACAAACGTTGTTTACAGCTTTCATAATATATCAGGTTAAGTTTATCAAACATAGAAAACATGTACTAGAACAAAGACAATGAGCACCTGTGGGTCTCCACTGTACAGGCTGGTCACAACCTCAGATTCAGTGCATTCAAACTTTTCGCACACTTCCCTGACAGCCTCTTCATCCAGAACAGTCGCATCATATGATGGATCCTCTGGGAAAAGGTAACCTGGTAGGTCCTGCTTAAACCATTCATGTTCCCTATCAAAAAACATTGATCAACTCAAACGCTTCATCCCAAACTCAATACTGACATTATCAGACACGCAAGGTATGACTTTTAGCTTGCTTCAAGCTGGATTATCAAACAGAGGAGTCTGTAATAAAATAATCCTGTGCCACATTACAGAGCTAACAGTTATAAAAGAGTGGACAGGCAACTAAATATTTGACACATTGAGGAAAGAAAATAAAGCTATAACTTGAGTTATAAAGCTATGGCATTTTCTTTTGTGGCAACATTAGTTAAAGAACTCTTTTTTTTTTTTAAAAGAAAAAAAATGATATATGAAGAGAAACATACAGTATAATATTAATAAAAAAGTGTTAACAATATAGCTAAAGGAGGCCTCTGGATTCAAGACAGTGGGGTCAGTACCTGATGTCTTTGATGGTGGCTCTCTTCAAAGGATCCACCTGCAGCATGAGCATCAGCAACGAGGCCACAGAGCGGGTCAGATACTCTGGGATGTAAAAGACACCTCCTCTGATCTTCTTAAACAGTGTAGGGACATGCTCATCATCAAAGGGCAGGGTGCCACACAGCAGGGCATACAGAATCACACCACAGCTCCAGATGTCAACTTCTGGGCCTGCATAGAGTCTAACAGAGAGATGAAAGGATGTGACAGTTAAAAAAAAAAAAAGCCAGATGCTTAACCACCAGAAAGGCTTTTTTTCCACAGTGATTTATAGGTTAATGGTTAAACGGTTTATTTATGACTTATCCCATGAGGCAGTTAAAAAAATAGTTGGTTGTATGATCACACACAAAAAACAGACGTACAAACCTTCCTGAGATGACCTCTGGAGCTGCATAATTGGGTGAGCCACAGCTAGTTCGTAGGAATTCTCCATCTGACATCATGTTTGACAGTCCTGTCGGACAACCCCAATTAAATGGCAAGAGAACATTAATATCTCTCTGTCTTTATTCTTACAGTAACAAGCATAACAACAACAAAGCATCTTAGTATGGAGATGAGCGACCAGCTGCCACCAGAACAGCTTCAGCTTTAGAACTCTTTTAAGGTGTTCAAGTACCCTCAAAAGATATTTCATCATTTGGTGGAGATGAGGGGTAGAGAGCAGTGAACCTATATCATTCTATCAATTTTATTAATTTCTAATAATGGACAGATATATTTTCTTCTTTCCATTTAACTTAGGGTTTCAAGGGAGTGAAACCTATCACTGTCTATCTGTCATGTCTGTGACAGAGTGCCAGTCCAGCACAGAGCTGGCACAACGAGAAAGACCAGTCATACTCACCCCTATGGCCAATTTAGAATCACAAATTAACCGACAATCATGTCTCTGGAGGCAAAACTTCACACAGAAAGACCCAAAACAGCACAGTATATGACTATGTTTTCCATCCTCATGAATCCAGTCAGTGACCACTAATGGCCTATAAACAGGGTACTGTAATCCTTAAAGCGACCACTCTAGGAGTCAGGATAGAAATGTTTCATCCCAGGATGAAGTAATAAGGTGATCGCTCAGAACATGCATTGATTTCTAGTGACCCTTTCCTCTAAAAGAACAGAAGGGCTAGTCAAACCCTGCCAGCAAAAAGATCCCAACAACACAACAGATCTCCAGAACCCCTCCTTGCACAGGTCAAGGGTTCAGGTTTTTCCCCTAATCTGTCACCTGTCTGCAGGTTAAATTTGAACATAGCCCAACAGGGAGTTACACACTGCGGACACTACTGAGACCTTTATCCTTCTTTACTCTCCAAGACACTAAGCTCTAAACACAAACTCGTTTAATTGGATGAGCCTCTCTCTGCCTACCAGGGTCTCTGCCAAACATTAAACGTCAGACACTTTGTGTTGTGCTGACCTTCCCTTTATCTTTTATCCCTGGTCCCTTAACACTCTCTTGCTCTGCTTGCCAGCATTTTTTGCTCTCAGCCAAAACACTTCTCCTGCTGTACTCCACTGCCACACCCCCCCTTGATTCCTTCCCTATCAGATGACACTGGGCCTCAAGGCTTCCTGCCAGACTTGATATGAAACCTTGCCGTTGCTAAGGGATGTCTCTCCACCCCACACGCCCTGCTGCGCATAAGGGCCCTTGTGTGTTTGTGAAATATTTCTCTCTTTCATGGTCATATTACATCAGGATTTTTAACTTAAATTGCAAAAATTAAGCCTTAACTGATAAAAGGCATTCTCAAGTGAAAATTTCCTTATCATTTAATAAAGCTAAAAGGTGCACAATTAGATTTCACATTTTTCTTCAAGTTAACAAAGTTACTGCATGTGTTGAATCATAAACAGCTGTCACTTGGCTTTATTTAAACTATGTAATTTTACTCTGTCACCCTAAACAAACCTCAGTATTTTATCTGTCCTCTTATCATGAATTTACAAAAGATTCTATTGTCAAGCTTGTTTTTATGTCTCCCCCTCTAGCTATAACTGTTTTCTTACCAAAGTCTGCTATCTTGGCATTCTTATTGGCATCCAATAGGACATTCTCAGGTTTGAGGTCTCTGTGAACCACCATGTGCCGGTGACAGTAGTCTACAGCTGAGATAATCTGCTGGAAAAGGCGGCGTGCTTCAGTGTCCTCCACCTGAAAGACACAAAAGGAATGGACTTGACTGATCTGAGTGATGATGCTCCCTCTGATCTACAAGTATGCAACTGGGTCAGTTGCAACAGGACCCAACTTTAAAAACATTTCTAGCAGATTTTGTTGAGCCAGTGCAAAAAAAAAAAAAAGCACTAACATTTAGAGTTATTATGGAAAACATTCATTTACTGATTTATTAGAAATGGAAAACATTTCAGACTGTGTTTTCTACGCATGTAATTAATTTAAGATCAATAATAATTAGCCCATTTATCTCTTTTAAGTGCCCTTAATGACCTGAGGGAATAGCTAGCTTTGTGGATGCAAACTGTAAAAAGCTAGTGATTTTAAATAGTCTGGTTTTCTAAACTGTAGAACGCTGCCTACGGACTAGTGGATAATGGGCTTTATCACAAAAGGTAGTGACAACAGATTTCATGAAAAGAGAACGAAGCACAAAAAAGATCAAAAGATTAAAAAAACAGCAATAAAAGCAAAGACAGTGGACAGTTTCATTGCTTTTAACACTAGTTTCACTTCACTATAATGAGGGACTTTGGCTCGCTCTCCTTGGCAGAAGCAGGACTAAAGGACCAACAATAGCACAAACATGTACAAGAGTAGAAGTAGTGCACATTCTGGATGTTTCTGACCCTGGCGACATAACCAGATAAGACATGCAACGTTCTGCAAAGCTGTGTGTAGGTGCTGTGTGGGACTAATGCATAACCATGCAGTCCATTAAGAGTCACACTACTTCAATTTCAAAAGGTGAAGTTCATAAACATCAATAGAAAACTATGAATGGCTTTACTAGACTTTACTAGGGTATCTTTTCGTGACTCGCAGTTCAAAATAAACCATATTTATGTCATACTAGGCCTGCGGAACCTATCAGTTAATATGATGTCTGAAACAAGCCATTTTAGCCATCTTTACCCTCATTTTAAACCAACTTTCTTCTGATTGGTTGCCCCTCGTAAACAGAAAATCTAAGAAACGTTTTTTATGCTCACAGGTAGAGCTTTGTGCTCTAGAGACATCTGCTTTCATTGACACCCACAGAGCTAAAGGCAGAAAAAACTGCCTGAAATTAAATGTTTAGACGAATCTAAAGCATGAAACTTTGGCTCATAGGAATTACTTTCACATAAATTGACTTCATCTAAGTTTTTGAAAGTTTGCCCATGTTTAACATGAGCATCCACTATTACAGTGTAATACGATGTAATGTATACATGACAAAACAAGGAGAGACGTTGTAAGTTGCACTTGAAAACAGTGCACATGTTTAGGAACATAGTTTAAATGTACATTATAAGTTAATTAAAATATAGATACCTACTCAAAATGACAGTAGTAAGAAGATATATTTAAAGCTAAAGCAAGACCATACAGTTTATAATATATATAATGTGAAGGATGTGGATTTAAATAATGTGAAAAAATACAGTCGACACAAAGTTAAGTATAAATACACTCAGCTATTTTTAACAGCAAGTCTACTTGGATTACTGCACAACCCCAGGAAACAAACCATCATCAGATTTTTGCTTGATATGTTTACCAAATATATGCAACAATTGCTTTTAAACTGTCAGAACTGTTTAACCAGTCAGGCTTCTGTTTAGTCAGCTAACCATGCCACTGGATAATAAAAGAATTTCTGATGATTCATTGACCACTGTACTCAGCCAGGCTGAAATCTACCAGCAAGATAATAGAAGAATGTCATCTTACCCGTCCATTCTTGCAGATGTAATCAAACAGCTCGCCTCCCGACACATACTCCATAACCATGAAAAAATCTGTCGGGGTGCTTATGACCTGGTACCTGACAACAACAACAACAACAAAAAAAAATGAAATGTTGTATTACAATGATGATTTCACCTTCTATCTTCTATTTTCACCTTTTATTCTCAAAAATTAAAAGTGTGATCACTTAGACATGTCCCTTTTTTTATAGGTAGATTAATTTTTAATCAAAATAACATTAAAATAATTAAAACTCTTGTACCTGACATAGTCAGTAATGGAATCGTTAATTAGAAATTACATGTTTTTAATTGAATTGCTTGTCCAGTTTTTTGAGTATATCAGGAAAAGATTATGATGGGCAAAAGACATTAGCAGAAGGATATATGGCTTTTTCTTTGCAACTCTGCCTACAAGGGAGGTCTCCGGGAGCTGCTTCTTCACTGCTGATCCCAGAAATAGTATTTTGTGGTTACCAATTAGTGAAGCTGCCAGTTTAGGACCCATGGAGTGTCTGTTTCTCAAAATAGAGTATCTGATGCATTTGTTTCCTTGCTCTGTGTTGCAGGCCTCTCATTCCACTTTCTATTCAGGTTCAAGTTTTTGTGGTTTTATGTAGGGGGTAGAACACACCTTCCTATGGCATCTTCAGTTATCGAGCAGGCAAGAGTTGATGTTCCAGTAACTCAGCTAACCAAATGAACTGTTTCTTTAATCAACACAGCAGTTATCAGATGTGCTATCATATTTGGAGAGGTTTCTTCTCATGATCATTTCTGTAACTTGTGCAACAGGACACAGGAGTCATTGTTGCTATTAAAAAAATCACCAGTCAGTCATATTTGTCATTCATGACATTTCTGATTAATTTACTGGAAATAAGAACAAAAGTGCTTTTCTTTCAAAACAAAGACACAGATGAGTGAACCGGAATGTCTAAACCTATATCGTCTACATAAACAATACACAGCATTAGTACACAGAAACAAAGGCACAGCAAGGCTGTGGTATTGGGTTGCTTTCATAAAGGTCAGGTATGTTAAATTGCAGGCACAATTTCATGAATGGTTGCCGGTGGTAGAATATAAACTTTATCACAATTTATTTCAATACTGTCAAGCTGGGTGAAGCCTAACACCACAGGGACTATGGGAGGAGAAACATTAAGACAAATAACTTTTTTCTTCTAACAGTTGAGAGTGTGGCAGCTTTTATAGTCATGGTCAGTATGTTAAACTGCTTCCACGTCTGTACAAGAAGTGTACACAGTGTGCATGTGTTTATTATTGTATGTGTCTCTGACACTGACTTCCACAGCACTCCAGCTTATGACCTGACAACTCGCATATCTGCCATTGCTTAGAGTTTTACAGTGGACTAACCATAACCCTAGACTAAAAATATCACAAACAATGTTGAGAGGGACGGACAGACATGGACTAACAAGGGGAAAGAGGCCAGGGAGATAGAAGGAAAGAGAAAGAAGGACAACAAAGTGACAGAAAAATCCATGAGGAGAGAGGGATTTAGACATGCTCCTTCATTACAACAATATCCAGCATCTTAACTGGAGATTTGTCCTAGCCAGAGCACATTTCTTTATCTAGCTCCAAGCTTGTGTGCGTGCACTGGTATGTTTGTGTGTTTTACCTCCTGTGACCCTTGTGGGCATGCTCAGTAGAGTACAGCTCTAGGAAACACATGTGAACAAGCAAAGCATGCCACAACACACAGCAAAGAACCCACGTTACAACAAGCAATAATAAAAGAGAGCCCAGTTATCTCTCTGCAAAGCTTGTCAGTCTTCACTGAGTCTGAGTCTTAAATCTGACAGACGGATGTGTCGCCTTTCTGTACTTACAGCTTGATGATGTGTGGGTGTCTGAACAGCTTAAGATTCTGGATCTCTCGTTTGATCTTCCCCACAACATCGAGACTACGGATCTTCTGTCTGTTCAGGATCTTCACAGCCACTTTATGGCCTGTCAACTGATGCTCGCCAACTAAAAACAACAGAATACAGACATGAAAGAGACAGACCACAGAGGCTAAAAAAATTAATAAAAAATAAATAAATCACATAACCTACTACATAAGCAGGTTGGTGTGGATTAAAAGGGTTACACTTTGATTTGGAGTCCTGTTGCGTAGGAAGCTTGCACAAAGTAGTGAATGAACTGCGTTTGTTATATTGATCTTTTGCTCTCTTTTGTAACCCCTATTTTCTTTCCATGCGTTTGTTTATAGTGTTGGAGCTATCTGCCTGCTGGAGGCTCTGAAACCAAGCTGTTATTGCAGCTGCCAAACACTGCACACGAAACTCAGAGTCAGATACGAACTGGGGCATGAACTGCTCCACAACTAACACACAAGCAGTAACCTGAAACGAGCAAGCATTACATACACACACACACACACAGTCATTTTTTATTCTTTCACACATGACTTTACACAGATTTTCTCCTAGTGGTTTGGGAGTGTGAGCAAAATCATTTTCCTTAATGATGATGTTCAGAAATAGCCATGGTTTCAAATGTTTTAGCAGCACACGCAAGAAACAGGCGGGGTGAGCATAAGCTCACAAGGTCATGCTGAGTGTCAGAGAACTAGCGAAGGCTACCCTAATAATAATCTGTTATACGCATCCTATTGAAGCTTTAAGATTGTTTATGGTTTGCTCGACTTGACAAGCACTTAACAAGCTACCACCGGCTAGCAGAGAATAACACATCGGACTAGCTTGCAAACATTAATGTCAGTTCAACGTTAGGTTCCCACGGTGGGTCAAACGGTGAGCTTCAGACGTCCTTTGTCGCCAGACAGGGCAAAGGACAGCCACCACAGCACAGTCCTTATTACTTAACGATATATCATAATAATGCGAGTGTGACTGTGCATCTCTGTGCATCCAGGTTTTATCACCTGCCATAGCTGATAACAGCAGCTACTGAAGGGGGCTTCGGTGAAAGAATTTGACTTTGAAGCGGTCAGATTCTCAGACTACAGTACGTTTAAAATCCAGTCTGTTGCCGTGGTTAAACCGCTCAACTACGCCAACTGCTTCACTGACCACCAGCAAGTTGAACACGAAGCGTTAAAGGGGTGGGAGGGGAGTGGGGGCACAGCGACTACTTGGCATTAACTACTCCAACTGAAGGCACAAACGTACACATGAAGCCTGGCATGACACAGAAACAGGACTTAACTCTTCACTTTGCCGAATGTCCCCACTCCGAGCGTGTCGCCGAGGATGTAATGGCCGATCTTTACCCTGCCTTCGTGTTTCTGTTGTTGCCTCTCTGCCATCTTCTCCGTTACCGACGGCTTGGCTCGCTCGGTGAGGTGGGAGAACTGCCTGCCTGGCCTGTGCAGCGCACGGGGGGCGGGGAAGAGGGGGGGCGGGGCACTTCACAGTGAAGAACCACCAACGGCGGAAAACGCGCGCACGCACGCGAATTATCCCTCCAAGAACCAGGCGCGCTCTCCCACCTACCCTGCACGGAGCAACCAACGGGGTGTTATGTTGAGTTTAGTAGCCCAGTCAAATACTAACCCTCACGGTCTAAATATATAGATGTGTGTATATATATATATACAGTGGGGCAAAAAAGTATTTAGTCAGCCACCGATTGTGCAAGTTCCCCCACTTAAAATGATGACAGAGGTCAGTAATTTGCACCAGAGGTACACTTCAACTGTGAGAGACAGAATGTGAAAAAAAAATCCATGAATTCCACATGGTAGGATTTGTAAAGAATTTATTCGTAAATTAGGGTGGAAAATAAGTATTTGGTCACCTCAAACAAGGAAAATCTCTGGCTCTCACAGACCTGTAACGTCTTCTGTAAGAAGCTTTTCTGTCCCCCACTCGTTACCTGTATGAATGGCACCTGTTTGAACTCATCATCTGTATAAAAGACACCTGTCCACAGCCTCAAACAGTCAGACTCCAAACTCGCCATGGCCAAGACCAAAGAGCTTTCGAAGGACACCAGGAAAAGTATTGTAGACCTGCACCAGACTGGGAAGAGTGAATCTACAATAGGCAAGCAGCTTGGTGTGAAAAAATCAACTGTGGGAGCAATCATCAGAAAATGGAAGACATACAAGACCACTGATAATCTCCCTCGATCTGGGGCTCCACGCAAGATCTCATCCCGTGGGGTCAAAATGATCATGAGAACGGTGAGCAAAGATCCCAGAACCACACGGGGGGACCTGGTGAATGACCTGCAGAGAGCTGGGACCAAAGTAACAAAGGTCACCATCAGTAACACACTACAACGGCAGGGAATCAAATCCCGCAGTGCCAGACGTGTTCCGCTGCTGAAGCCAGTGCATGTCCAGGCCCGTCTGAAGTTTGCCAGAGAGCACATGGATGATACAGCAGAGGATTGGGAGAATGTCATGTGGTCAGATGAAACCAAAGTAGAACTTTTTGGTATAAACTCAACTCGTCGTGTTTGGAGGAAGAAGAATACTGAGTTGCATCCCAAGAACACCATACCTACTGTGAAGCATGGGGGTGGAAACATCATGCTATGGGGCTGTTTTTCTGCCAAGGGGACAGGACGACTGATCCGTGTTAAGGACAGAATGAATGGGGCCATGTATCGTGAGATTTTGAGCCAAAACCTCCTTCCATCAGTGAGAACTTTGAAGATGAAACGAGGCTGGGTCTTCCAACATGACAATGATCCAAAACACACCGCCCGGGCAACAAAGGAGTGGCTCCGTAAGAAGCATTTGAAAGTCCTGGAGTGGCCTAGCCAGTCTCCAGACCTCAACCCCATAGAAAATCTGTGGCGGGAGTTGAAAGTCCGTGTTGCTCGGCGACAGCCCCAAAACATCACTGCTCTCGAGAAGATCTGCATGGAGGAATGGGCCAAAATACCAGCTACTGTGTGTGCAAACCTGGTAAAGACCTATAGTAAACGTTTGACCTCTGTTATTGCCAACAAAGGTTATGTTACAAAGTATTGAGTTGTATTTTTGTTATTGACCAAATACTTATTTTCCACCCTGATTTACGAATAAATTCTTTACAAATCCTACCATGTGGATTCATGGATTTTTTTTTTTCACATTCTGTCTCTCACAGTTGAAGTGTACCTCTGGTGCAAATTACTGACCTCTGTCATCATTTTAGTGGGGGAACTTGCACAATCGGTGGCTGACTAAATACTTTTTTGCCCCACTGTATGTATGTATGTATATATATATATATATATATATATATATATATATACACACATATATATACACACACATATATATATATATATACACACATATATACACACATATATATATATATATACACACACACATATATATACATATATACATATATATACACACACATATTTACTAGTATGGGTTTTTCTTCTTTATTCCTAAATGCAAAATGTGGAGTTCACCACTAGATGGCAGCATACGTATGATTCATCAATACTCAATACCTGGTATGAGTTTCGGATTTCTTTCTACTCCTATTGTTAAACATACGCAACAAGCAAGCAATATTTATTTATATAGCCATTTGCCCGGACAAGAACGGCATCGAAAGGAATCTAGGACAAAACAACAATGTGAAAAAAGAGGAAACGGGAATACGATGAAAATACACAAAATAACACAAGGCTCCAGCTTCTCAAATTGGACAACAAATAGTGTTCGCTCACCAACATATTATATTACATTATGTTATATTATAAGATATTTTTTTGTATTAAACATAAAATCGTCTGGAAACAGAAATTTCCTGAAGTTAAAAAGGATTAAAATCACGAATTACAGACTTCCCGTCTTTGTCTCTGTATGGAGACTGGACAAATATATATAAGGTTTCGACACATTTTTCACATGAAAAGCAAATATCAATATTTTAATTAACATTTGAACTTTAATTGTTGCAATATTATATTTTTGTTCATCTTTTAAAATAAACACTTTATTGAAAATTTGAAAAAAACCTCTAGCACTATATACTGGAACATATTCTCTTTATTTTGTCTGTCCAAGAACAAAGATTTTTAATAGTCTCAACTCAAAAGCGCTTCGGTTGTTTTGCGCCTGTTACAGTGAGTAACCGCTAGGAGCAGTTTATCCGCAACGGTGGTCAGTCCACTGCTGGTCTCCACTCTTCCAAGTTTTTCAAGCAGGGATGGAGACGATTACTCGTTAGCAGAGAGAGGAGGAGGGCTGCTGTGGGAACTAAGAGAGCGGGGGGAGGAGGAGGAGAAGAAGGATTGATATAACAAGAGCGGCTGTCGATGCGCAACGCAAGTCTCACTCCAAGTCTTTGAAACAAGACAGATAAAGGGGAGCGGGCTTTCCATTCAGTACCAGTGCAGGCAATTTTTTTTAAACTAAGTTCGTGCCGCGGGTCAGTTCTCCATTTAGCCTACTACTCATCTGACTTTTAATTATTTTGTAAAATTGAAATACGAGAGAGCGAGTCATAAACAGATCAGAAACTCCGAGAGAGCTGCGAGTTGGGAAGTTTGTTTCCCGTTGCTTTGCATGACATTTCTTCCAAGGACTTGAGAGCCTGACACAGTTTCTTCATAGACCGTGCGGTGTGGGATTTTGATCTGAAACGGGGACTCATCAAATGCAAAATTACATGTATGAGAAAGCAATGGCTCAAGAAACAAGGAACGGAGGAACCTCTACGTTAAATAACAACAATGGTGTTGACAACAGTAAGAAGAAGGTGCTAATAGTGCTCGATGTCTTCTGCCTTCTACTTGGTAAGTTCACAGATATGTTTACACGATGCTTTCCTCTCTGTTACCATTTAAACTGCGTATCTCACATCAGCTTTTGTAGAGTACATGCAAAAAAAAAGTGAAGACAGAAACTTCTGCACATTGCACTCACAATAAAAGCCACCTTTAGAATAGATAAACAGTGCCCGCCTTTTCTCAAGTTTGCCAAAAAGAGTATTATCATTTTAAAAGTATTGCCCGTTATCTGTAACTGCAAAACAACTTCAGCTGCTACATCCCCTTATCATCCAGTACCAACGCAACACCCCCGGGCAGTGGAAGTGCCGAATAAAAAAAATCAAACAACATTTCAGGAGTTCGCACTTTTAATTTTCTTTAATTCAACCCAGAATCACAATCAGTTTGTAAACTGAGAAGAAGAGAAAACTTCTTTTCTTTGTTGTTGTCAAGACAGGTGACTAGCTTCTCTCATCGGAGATAACTGTCACCGGGTAATATACTGATCATTTCAAAGTCCATGGAGTGTCACTGTAATTGATCAGTTGTCAACATGCCTTGGGCATAAATATTTTCAAGTGTTCTAACCTGCCCTTAAAAATAGCCAGACAACACCCACCACTTCCCCCAGTCTGTTCTCTGATAACGATGATCATCTGACCCCAAATCAGATGAACATGTCTATCAGTCCAGCTAAAGCTGGCCATAGGCTGAGTTGCAAGGTGACTGAAGTAAAAATCAAAGTGTAATTAAGATACTGACTAACAGCTCACAAAACAGTTTTTTGCATTAGCTCTCATTTGCACCCACAGAAATTTTAATGTGTGTTAGTTCTAAGTATTTATTCAGTGGACATCCCATACAGATTCAGTGTGCTGCCTTTGTGTATGTGTGTCTGGTGTCTGTGTGTGTGTTGCTTTGCTGGTTTGTTTTTGGCTGTTGTCACTGTAGCCCAGTCCTTTTAGTGTTGAGCGCCAGTAAACCCCCCCCCCCTTTCTTTTCACACTATTTTCATTCCCCCCATCTCCCCTTTCTCTTTTTTGGAAAAGGATTACGGGAGTTCTGCTTAACTTCTACACATTCACTCCTAGAATCTTGCCAATCCCTGGCCAGCTGCCCCTGATCTCTTCACTTCAAATTACTTTCTTTCTTTCTTTCTGGCTCTCTTTCTCCCTCTCTGTCCAGGGGAATGCGTGGAATAATTGCTTAAGCATGTGTTGTGGTAGGGGAAGGCCTCTCCAATTTGAGTGAGGGATCGAAAAGTGGGACCAGTGGCTGACCGGGCTTTAGAGGAGCAGGTGGGAGACACACCAATAGGGCAATATAAAGGAACTAGTAAAGTACCGATGAAGTATGCAACACTACCACACAGGAGCTGGATTGTATCATCCAGTATGTTACAAATGGTGCACATTAACTCCACATAAGTGCTGTGAGGTAGAAGCAAAGCTCGCTGACAGACAAAGTTTTCCATTGGGTTTATACTAGTTTTTTTATTAAAGAACCCCAGACAGAGATACACTGTTTCATCTGCACTCATATAACTGTAGATGAGCTTTGATCACATGTGGACTGAATTTCCTGCACAAACCAACTTCCTTTATTGGTTAAAGCTCTACAGACAGTTCTCCATTGCCTTGTTAGGACACACACACGCACTCA